CTCTGTTAATGTATGTTTGTAGCTGTTTTTGTATTACCTTTAGCAAAACTTTACTTGCATGTTTTATCAATGATATTGTCCAGTGATTTCTGCATTCTGTTTGGTCACCTCTCTTTGGATGGGCACAAATGCAAATCTCTACCGGTCAGTTGGCCAGGTAGTTGTCTTCCAAATTTCTTGACATACACGAGTGAGTGCCTCCAGTGTGGCATGAGTTTGTTGAAAGATTTTCATTTGTATTCTATCCATTCCTGGTGCCTTATTCTTTGCCAATGATTTCAATGTACTTTGACTTCTTCCTTCAGTATCATTGGTATGCCACCTCTTGAAATGGTTGAACATTGACCATTTCTTTTTTTGACCATTTCTTTTTGGTACAGTGACTCTGTGTATTCCTTTCATCTTCTTTTGATGCTTTCTACATCATTCAATAATTTGCCCATGGTGGTTATGTGCCATGGAGTCAATTCCGACTCATAGCGATCCTGTGCAGGGTTTCCAAGGCTATAAATCTTTATGGGAGCAGAAAGCCTCATCTTTCTCCCATGGGATAGCTGGTACTCTCAATCTACTGAGCTTGCGGTTTTCAGCCCAATTCATAACCACTACACTACCAGAGCTCCTAGGATCCCTCAATACCAATAGTCGAGGCTTGAATTTTTTAAGTTCCCTCACCTTGAAAAACATTTAGTGTGTTCTTCTTCCCTTTTAGTTTTCCAACTCCAGATCTTCACACATTTCATTATAACATTTGACTTTGTCTTCTCCAGCTGACCTTTGAAATGTTTTGTTCAATTTTTTGCCTCCTCACTTCTTATGTTTGCTTTAGCATCTTTATGCTGGAAATCAAGTTTCAGTCTCTTCTGACATCCATTTTGGGCTTTTCCTTCTTTTCTTGTCTTTTTAATGACCTTTTGCTTTCCTCCTGTATGATGTTGTTGGTGTCATCCCATAACTCTTGGTATTTAGTGTCTAATGCATCAAATCTGTTCTTCCAATGTTCTCTAAATTCAGGTGGGATATATTTGCAGTAATATTTTAGCTCATGTTATCATTTTCTTCAGCTTCAGCCTGAATTTGCATATGAGCAATTGATGATCTATTCCACAGTCTGCCCCTGGCCTTGTTTTTACTGATGATATGGAGCGTTTCCACTGTCTCTTTTAACAGATGTATTCAATTTGATTTCTGTGTATTCCTTCTGGTGAGGTCCATGTGAATAGTTGTCTTTTATGTTGTTTTAAAAAGGTATTTGCAGTGAACAAATCATTCGTCTTGCAAAATTCTATCATGCAATCTCCAGCATCATTTCTATCACCAAGGCCATATTTTCCAACCACTGATCTTTCCTCTTTGTTTCCAACCTTTGCATTCTAATCATCAGTGATTATCAGTACATCTTGATTGCACGTTTGATCAATTTCAAACTGAAGAAGTTGGTAGAATTCTTCTATCATAGACAATGTTGTACTTCATGACTGATCTTGATATGTTCTTTTTGATGATGAATGTGATGCCGTTCCACTTCAATTTGTCATTCCCAGCATAGTAAAACATGTGATTATCAGATTCAAAATGGCTAATGCCAGTCCATTTCAGCTCACTAATGCCTAGGATATCAATGTTTATGCATTCTATTTCATTTTTTACAATTTCCAGTCTTCCTAGATTCATATTTCATACATTCCATGTTCTGATTATTAACGGATGTTTACAACTGTTTCTCTCCATTTTACATTGTGCCCCATCAGCAAATGAATGTCCTTAGGTCTTCACTCCATTAGCATCATCACGTTCAACTCTACATTGTGGAGGCAGCTCCTCCCCAGTTACATTTTGAGTGCCTTTTGAGGTAGACCTTGTATGTACTTTTTTTTCTTGGTGTATAGCTTTATGAAGTTTATCATATGTATATATTTGTGTAACCAGCATCAGAATTAGAGATAGAACTGGTTCATTGACACAAGGAAACACCCTAGTATTACTCCTTAACAGTGAACTAACTGCCCAACCCTTACCACTGGAAACCAGCATTCTGTTCCTCATCATTATATTGTACTACTTTTAGAACATTATATGAATGGAAGTGTTCAGTGAGTAACTCTTTGAGATTGTTTTTTTTTCACTTGGCATCATGCCTTGAGATCCATATAAGCTGTTGTTTATGTCCAAAGTATGATACTTTTCAGCATGTGCATTTTTAAAAGCTCTGCAGGGGTCCTTTTGTACAATCAGGGTTGAGAACACATAGTATGGAGTTGTTATTGTTGTTAAGTACCATCAAGTCGATTCATAGAGACTCTGTATAGGGCTTCTGAGGAGCAATAGGTAGATTTGAACCACCAACCTTGAAGGTAGCAGTCTAATGCTTACCCATCAGTGCCACACCAGGACTCCAAGTTTGGGGTTGTTGGCATTAAGTGCCATCAAGTTGGTTCTGACTGATAACGACCCTGTATATGGTTTCTGAGGAGCAGCTTATGGGTTTGAACTACCAACCTTGTGGTTCACAGTCCATTGCTGATTCTACAGCACCACAGCAGTTGTTGTTGTTAAGTGCCATCTAGTAGGTTCCGACCCATAGCAACCCTATATAGAATTTCCGAGGAGCAGCTGGTGAGCTTGAACTGCCAACCTTGCGGTTCAAACGGCTTTGCAGTCTGGCACATTAACCCACAGCACCACACCAGGATGTTAAAATGAATAAAGAAAAGAACAGTAACAGCTTACACTTGTAATACATTTTGCAATTACAAAGTTCAACACATCGATGACCCATACTTAGTCACATTTCTTCATAGAAGAACTTTCATAATTATAGCTATAATACGCTGTGTCTGGGAGCATCATGACTCTGTGGGGTAAGCACTGGACTTCGAGCCACAAAGTTGATAGTTCTAGCCCACCAGTCACTCTGTGGGAGAAAAATGACGTTTTCTGCTTCTATAGGAGTCGCTATGAGTCACAACTGACTCAGTGACACTGAACAACTCATGTTGAGTCTGCAGTATGTGTATGTCTATCCCATACATCTAGATTTTTGCCCTGTGGTTTTGAGATTCTTTGATGATCTAGTTGTAAAGATTCTTAGTCAATACCACCAAGCATGTACTTTCAGTTTCAGAAGGTAGAAAAACTCAGGCCAAACTATTTATGAAGGAAATTTCTGGACTTCTCAAAGAAAGCTATCCAAGTGAGATCTGGCCACGGGGACATCAAGGACTTTCAGTTTCTCACACTCACTTTCTTTGTAAGTTAGCTTAAACTCACAAAGAAAATAGACAAGTTTACTACTACAGCCAGGCTTCCTACAGTAAGCAGCAGGTAAAGGAAATGTGTACTCCAATAGCTCTGAACATCTATTATCTGCAGCTTAAAATCTCCAGAGGAAAAAGAACTGTGATCTCTATATATACTTATATAAAACCCTCAGAAAGAGTTTGTTTAATCAGTCTTGAAGATGTGCCCAATCCTGGACCAATTATTGTTACCTGGAGGGTGGGACTAATGTGATGGGCCAAAGAGATTGGGCTGTCATTGGGGAGGTGTGGAGCATCCCTTCAGAACAAACTGCAGTAAGGGAGGAAACTTCTTGAGAGAAATGGGTCCTGTTACAGAGGGAAATAAGAGGGACTGACAAACACACATATCCGCAAATGTCTCATTTGTGCCTATCATCAAGTTAAGGACCATGGAAGATACACTGTGCTTTGTGAACTCTAATTTCAAGTAGTTAATCAGTATGACCTAATCATGAAAAGCTAACAATTCAACAAATATAATTTGTGATAAATTAATGGGATGAAGAATAAGTATGATACAAGTTTGGGCTGGAGATATAGACCATTATGTGTGGTTTCAGCCCTCAATGATTCTTTATCTGCATCAAGTTCTGAACTGCCTCTAGCAACACAATTGGGCAAAGAGATGGGCAGAAATTCAGTACCCAGCTCAAAGAGCTCAGATTTCATCTCCAGGTCCAGCTCTGTTCATACATAAAAAAAACATGTGACTTGTCAGATTCAAGTTGTTTGGTCTTCTAACTTTTATTTTCTTGTCTAGGTAGGGAGGGTATTATACATATATGAGTTGGAAATAGAATGTGATCATTGACACAGAAACACTGAATTAAAATGTTCCTGTTGTAACCATTACTCCTTACATCAGTATACAAGCAGCTAAAGAAAGCTATACGGCCCACACACTAAACCATGGCATTGTTGTTAAGTGCTATCAAGTTGATTACAACTCATGATGATCCATGTGACAGAGTAGAACCACCTCATAGGGTAATCTTTACAGAAGGAGCCTTGTTTGTGCAGTGAGTTAAGTGTTGGTTAAGTGAAACCCAGTGTTTCAAACCTACCAACCACTCCACAGGAGACAGATGAGGCAGTCTGCTCAGTAAACATTTACTGTCTGGGAAACCCAAAGAAGCACTTGTATGTTGTCCTAGAGGGGTGTCACTATAAGTCAGCATCAAATAGATAGCAATGGGCTTTTGGTAGGTTTTATGGCAGCAGATCTCCAGGTCTTTCTCACATGTAGGCCCGGGGTGGGTTTGATCTGTCACCTTAAACCATACAATGTAGCATACTACAGAAAGCATTCTGCATCACTTTCCTGATGGAGCTAGCGCTGGCACTCAGATGGGAAGACCAAGGAGAGATGAGCTGTGGTTTTAATACCTCTTCAGAATAGAATTATTGTCCTACTTTGGGTACCTCTCTGCAGGACATTTATTTCACTTTAATTCCCTAGTTTCCCATAGTATAGATTGATGTGAGAGAAAGGCTGACTCAATTGAGACACAGTTCTGTCAGTTCACTTCTAACCAGTTAGGGAGAAACTTACTCCATTTTTGATATTTTAAAAGAAAAGATTGAAGTCTAAGATGATATGTCTATTAGATAACCCAAGTAAATAGCTAGATACTGGCAAAAAGGAAAGCCAGGAAACAGTGTGTGGATATTTGTAATTATTTTTCTCCAAATACACAGATATTGGGGCAAGTATTCAGGATAAAGAAGAGCAATTTCAAGAAGCTCTGTTCAAAGAACGCATTGCAAAGGCAGAAGCTGAAGTGTGGGCTAAGGTAAAGGAAGTTAGAAATTAATGTAAAATGCATTTTTACAATTCCTTCATTTTGGGGGGTTCATTCAAAAAGATAAAAGCATAGTATCCAAGAGCACAGACTAGGAATCAGACAGAACTGACTGAATCCTGGCCAGCTGTGTGACCTTGAGTAAGTTCCTTAATCTCTTGAGTCACAAATGCCTGCTTTTCCCAATTGCTTCATTATGATATGTTCCACATCTGTAAAAGAGGGGTAATAATACCCACTGTGTAACATTGTAGAAAGGTTCAATGAAATATTGTGCCCTCTGTGTGGATGACTCCAGCTCCTTTTATTCTCACTTGATTAACACAAATCAATAAATGATAAGATGAAGATCCAAGAGCACATTCTTGTTGACAGCCATTTTTCATTGCTTAAACTTTAACATGTAGACTATTTGTATGGTATTTAATACCCCTGGACTAAATGCCTGCTTTTCCCAATTGCTTCATCATGATCTGTTCCACTTTTCAACCCCTAGCTCTCTTCCCTTCTTCTCTCCAAAATCATTGATACCTTGCCCATATGATTGCTGAGTATCATAGAGGCATTTGAATGTGTCAGGATTCACAGTGAGCTCCCAGATACCTAACTGAAACAGGGCCTCAGTCTCCAGTCCTTACTTCTTCTAATCAAAAATAGAAAGACTAATGATTTACTAAAGACAAAGGAAACTTTTCTGAAGGCAGGGCAAACCACAATGCCTAGAACAATGTCATTTCTCATTTCGTTTATAAAATGGAAAACAGCAAATACATTGGAATTGCAGTATGAATGCCAGCAAAAGTTTAGTATGGAAGTATTTGAAAGGAAAACAGACTATAGTACTAAGAATTTTATACACACACACACACACATATCTATATCTTAGCTACTATCTAAGTTGACTGTGATGGTACGAATTGAGTATAGCATTCAGGACCTACATTTGCTGATGAGGCACAACTCAAAATGAAGAGATACATCTGTAAACATCCATTAATAATCAGGACATGGAGTGAACATATGAAGTATGAATCTAGGAAGATTGGGAAATGTCAAATATGAAATGGAATGCATAAACATCAATATGCTAGGCATTAGTGAGCTGAAATAGGCTGGTATTAACCATTTTGAATCTGACAATCACATGGTTGTGCTGGTAATGACATATTTAACAGGAACAGCATTGCATTCATCATCAAAAAGAACTTAAAGTGCAATGCTGTCTGTGATAGGATAATATCCATATACCTACAAGGAAGACCTGTTAATACCACTATTATTCAAGCTTACGCACAAACCACTAAAGCCCGTGATGATGAAATTGAAGAATTCTACCAACTTTTCCAGTCTGAAATTAATCAAACATGCTATCAAGATGCATTGGTAATTACTGGAGATTGGAATGCAAAGGTTGGAAACTAAGAAGAAGGATCAGTGGTTAGAAAATATGACCTTCATGATAGAAACAATGCTGGAGATTGAATGATAGAATTTTGCAAGACCAATGATTTGTTCATTGCAAATACCTTTTTTAAACAACATAAAAATGACTATACACATGGACCTCACCAGATGGAATACACAGCAATCAAATTGACTACATCTGTGAAAAAGCTGTATCTCATCAGCCAAAACAAGGCCAGGGACAGACTGTGGAATAGACCATCAATTGTTCATATGCAAGTTCAGGATGAAGATGAAGAAAATGAAAACAAGTCCCCAAGAGCCAAAATATGACCTTGAATATATCCCACCTGAATTTAGAGATCATCTCAAGAACAGATTTGCTGCATTAGACACTAAAGACCGAAGACCAGAAGAGTTTTGGGATGACTTCAAGAACATTATACAGAAAGAAAGCAAAAGGTCATTGGAAGAAAAGAAAGAAACAAAAGACCAAAATGGATATCAGAAGAGACACTGAAACTTGTAGAGATGTTAAAGCAAATGGAAGAAATGAAGTAAAAGAGCTGAATAGATTTAAAAGGTCAGTCTGAGAAGGCAAAATCAAATAGTATAATGAAATGTGCAAAGACCTGGAGTTAGAAAACCAAAAGGGAAGAACACACAGCATTTCTCAAGCTGAAAGGACTGAAGAAAAAAATTTAAGCCTATACTTGTGGTATTGAAAGATTCTATAGCAAAATATTGAATGATGCAGAAAGCATCAAAAGAAGGTGGAAGGAATATACGGAGTCAGTGTACCAAAAAGAAATGGCTGATGTTCAACCATTTCAAGAGGTAGCATATGATCAAGAACTAATAATAACCGCGGAGTATAACCTTTGGTTGGGTGATGATGCATGGACGGGATGGTAACTATGGCATTGAAACGATGTATGATAGAATGAGTGTAAAGCTAATGTTCCCCCATGTAAACTATCACACAATAAAAGGGAAAAAAAAAAGAACTAATAATACCGAAGGAAGAAGTCCAAAGAGCATTGACGGCATTGGCTAAGAGCAAGGTTCCGGGAACTGATGGAATACAAATTGAAAATTTTCAACAAACTGATGTAGCACTGGGAGTACTCATTCCTCTCTGCCAAGAAATTTGGAAGACAGCTACCTGGCCAACTGACTGAAAGAAATCTATGTTTGTGCTCATTCCAAAGAGAGGTGACTCAACTGAATGGGGAAATCATCGGACAGTATCATTAATATTGCATGCAAGTACAATCTTGCTAAAGATAATACAAATACGGCTGCAACCACACACTGACAGAGAACTTTCAGAGGTTCAAGCTAGATTCAGTAGAGGACGTGAAATGAGGGATATCATTATCAGCTGGATCTTGGCTGAAAGCAGAGAATACCAGAAAGATGTTTACCAGTGCTTTATTGACTACACAAAGACTTTCAGTTGTGTGGATCATGACAAGCAATGGCTAACATTGTAGAGAATGAGTATGTTTAGCAATAATGAGCACCATGGTGTAAGACAAAAGTAATACTGGTGGTGATGGTTAAGGTTATGTGTCAACTTGCCTGGGCCATGATTCCCAGTGGTTTGACAGTTATGTAATGATATAACTTGGCAACTATGTAATGTTGAAATTTGTCAATTATGGAATGATGTTGTCATCATTTTGTGATCTGATATGGTCATCCTCCATTTTTGCATAATGCTGAGGTTGTTTTTTATAATAACCTGCTCTTTAGGTCTTAAATCAGTCAGTGAGGAGTAGGTGTATATTATTTTGATAAGCAAGAAGTGCCAAAGAGAAAAGAACCCAGCAGTCTAGAGTAAAGCTGTCCTCTCTTTAGCAATTCCTGCAACAGTGATCTGAGCTAAATGTTGGAATCTATTAGAGCATCTCTAGCTAAGGCAGCTAGATATTTATGGAAAGTTTGAGATGGAAACAGAACAAGTTACTAGGGGTCCCGAGGTAGTTGCTAATTTTCAGTAAACTTGAAAACCTGATTTACCAATATCCCAAATAATGATGAATTGCCCTATGTTCATCATGATGTATTAATAGATACATAATTTCTTTCAAAGGCTAAGGAACTCCAAAAACAAGCAGTAGAAAAAGCAATTGAAGAAGCAAAGGACAAACACAGAATTGACCTTCTAATTCTGGAAGAGAAGCATCAAAAGGATCTACAGGTGTTTGGGGTTTTTATTATGTTTTGTTGTCATTTTATAAGTATTTAAGGTAATGGAAGCACTTGGCAAGGACAGCAGAAAAGAAAATAATAGCATGTAAAATATAGGTTGGTGTTTGTGAGGTTCTACTAGTAGTAGTAAGTAGTAGCAGAACTTTTTTAGTGATAAGAACCAGGATCAGCCCAAAGTTGATTTCTATGAAGTGGAAATCAGATATACCTCCATTCTCCAACTTCTTTAGTATTTCTGACACCAGCTGTCCCCTCACAGACTCTCTACTTTTCTATGGGGTTTGATGATTTGTTGCAATGGCCACATGAATTGGTGCTGAAGGACAAGCACTGGACTGTTAACTACAAGTTTGATAGTTGAAACCCACCAGCCACTCTGCAGGAGAAAGATGAGGCTGTCTTCGCCTGTAAAGATTTACAGCCTTGGAAACTCTATACAGGGTCACTATGAGTCAGTATCAATTGATGGTTGTTGTTGTTATGTGCCGTGGAGTCGGTTCCAACTCATAGCAACCCTGTACAGGGTTTCCGGGGCTGTAAATCTTTACGGGAACAGAAAGCCTCATCTTTCTCCCACAGAACAGCTAGTAGTTTCGAACTGCTGACCTTGCGGTTGGCAGCCTGCTTCATAACCACTAAGCTACCAGAGCGCCTTATCAATTGATGGTAGTGTTTGCTTTTTGGTTTGGTTACTCACAATTATGTGGTTTGTTAAGGAAGTTGTTGTTAAGTGCCGTTGAATCAGTTCTGACCCATAATGAGACCCAGTATAGAGTTTCCAAGGAGTGGCTGGTAAGCTTGAACCTCTGCCCTTGTGGTTCAAACCGACTTTGCAGTCCAGCGCATTAACCCACAGCACCACACCAGGACTTCTATTAAGGAAGTAATAGGGTTTAACTTGGGATCAGGATCAACAGACCGTACAACTCAGGATGGGGATAAGAAGTATATAGGCAAAGTATGGAAAGCTATCCCAAAGTGGAGAGCACAGCCCTCCCTTCTTTGGTTCAGGACAGCTTTCTCAACTTCTTTCAGCTGTACAAGTAAGCAGGCCCTTGTATCTGCCATCCACATCCTCTCTCAGCCATACAGACCTCTCACTGCCTCAGGGCAGGTCTCCTTTTGGGCCCATCAGGACAGACTTCCTGGCTCTGCACACCCCTTCTCAGCTATGCAAGTTTCTCTGTGTTTGGCCTCCCTGCCATCAATGTCTTCTCCACTGCTCACTGACCCAGCTCATAATCAGTGTAGCATCTTTGTTCAGTTCTCTTAGCTGTGTTCCTAGCATCAAGTTTCTGCTGTCATCACTAACTCTGCCACAGGGTCCCTTCTGAGCCTTCAACTGCCTGTTGTGTCATAGGACATCTTCTAGGTCTCTCACAGTCTTCAGTGGTACAGCCTTTGATCCCTGTTACAGCTCTTTTAAGAGGGTCTTCACTTCCTCTCTTTCTGCTGCTTCTCTGTCTTTTCCTCTCTTCCTTTTTCTCCTTTTTGAAACCTATGTGGGGTTGACTGCGTATATACAGAAAGAACCTCCTTGTTAATTTCAATGCCTGGGCCTCCCAGGGGAATCATGAATTAACCAATCTCCTTGGTGGGCCATAGACATTTCATTTGCATAGTCTGTACTATATTGACCAGTCCTGCAATGTGCATTAAATAGACTAATCACAGGGCAAATTACAGCACAAGGTTTACCCAGAAAACGTCAATCAACTTGGATGAAAGTAACAAACTCTCTGGGATAGAAAACTAGAGCACAGGTAACTCCTCAGGGTTTAAGGGGGGAAATCTTTTAAGTGGTTTTCCCAAAGAATTCAGGCAAATGACCACATAAAGGAACTCATTTCACCACATTGTTTCATAGAGGTTGGCTGGGAAGACCAGGAGTTTCACAGCAAGTTGTGGAATCTGTGGAGAGTGTGGCATTCTCTATGCTGATCTCTGTGGCAGCAGTGAGGAGCCCTGTGAAAGAGGATTCCATAATCTTACCTACTGCATCTCTTGCAACTGCCTCTCTTTCTTCTGGCTCACTACCTTTGTCTGGTACCTTGATCTTGAGCACATCATGCTTCTTCCAGCTTCTTTTCTCTACCTTCTTCTCCAGATTTTAGCTCAAACATAACTTCTTAAGGATAGCTTTACTGGGCCAATGCTGAACCTGACACTATACACTGTCTATGATACTCCATTCTCTGGCATGGTGGTTATTGCATTGTAAAGATTTAGCGGTGTGCTTAGTTGTTTAACATCCAAATCCTCTACATGACTTCAGTCACCATAAGGGCATATCTGTCTTGTCATTGCTTTTGCTCCAGTGCTCAGCACAGTGCTTTGTGTTAACAAGTACTGACATACTTGCTAAAAGAATGAAACAAGCAGTTCTCTTCATTCCCTGGGCTTTTTCCTTGTGCATTATTTACCTAAATTTACATTTGCAGCCATGCCAAGAGGGACATCTGTCTGAGCCAGCTCTCAAGTATTTTCTGCAGGACCAGAGGTCAAAAAATGAGGGGAGTTCTTTTTAACTTGTGACCTGTTCTAGCACGTGACACTTGGTAATTAGTAAACTTTCTAGGCAGAGGTCTAAGGATCAGTGCTTAGTTCAGTGTCTCCATAATAAAATCTGTTCAAAGGTAAAGGGTACAGAACTATTTCACATTTTACCCAAGAGAAGGGCAGGATGGGATGTGGTTCTGGTGTGATGATACATGGGGAAAGTCTAGAGGAGAAGTGGCAGAGGTATGACCCCAAGTTTGGCCTAATTTAGTGGGAATACAACTAATAAACAGGTCAGAACCACTGGCCAATTTATCCATTGTTTGCAACATGAGCACTTACCATACTCCTATATCAGATCTGAATTTTTGTTGTTGTTGTTAAGTGCCATCGAGTTGATTCTGGCCCATAGCAACCCTGTATAGGGTTTCCAAGGAGCAGCTGGTGAGCTTGAACCATCGACCTTGCAGTTCAAATGACTTTGCAGTCTGATGCATTAGCCCATAGTGCCACACCAAGACTCCTCAGATCTGAATTGTTGTTGTTGTTGTTGTTGTTAAGTACCATGAAGTCGGTTCCGACTCATAGTGACCCTGTACAGGGTTTCCAAGGCTGTAAATCTTTATGGGAGCAGAATGCCTCATCTTTCTTCTGCGGAACCCCTGGTAATTTTGAACTGCTGACCTTGAAGGTTAGTAGCCTGATTCATAACCACTACACTACCAGAGCTCCTTCAGATCTGAATTAGGTGAGAATAAATTGATGGTCCTTGTCCTTGAGATACTTGCTGGCAGGAAAAGTGGCTCTACCCCAGCAGGTTTCCTGTATGATAGTCGAGTGATCACTGCTTGCCTCTAGTCCCCTGCCTCAGCCAAATCTTGGCTTGATCCCTGAGCGTTTAACTGAGTAGCTCACTGACCATCCCCTATTTCAATTCAAAACATGTAAAATGTTTATAGCATATCTGAGGCAGGTCTGCTATCCAGTTAGCATACACCAGTAGGACCATATAGGTTCCTACAGCACTGGAATACCTCCTTATCAGCTGATAAATAGCCACTCCTCAAGCCTTTTATCACCTTGATTATCCTGGTTTTTCCCTGTACTCAGCCCCCAGCATGTCCTTCAACCCAGCAATTTAAAAAAGGCTAACTCTTGGTTTAAGTGGGATCTCCAGAGTCCTACCTAGGTGACAGCCACGGTCATTCTGATAGGTGACCCAGCTAAGAAAATTTATAGGAGAAATGTTAGCGGGAGGTTGACCTTTCTGAAATATTGGCCTTGGGTTTGAGAGTTTACATTTAAGCCACCATCTTATTTAGTTTACATTTAAACCGCCATCTTATATTTGAAGATATGACTGATCTAAAGGAATGTGTTGGATTGTTAGTTTAGCTGTAAAGTACACAGACATAGACATCAGTACTGTTTCTCAGGAGTTGCCTTTGAACCAATTGCTTTGAACACACACACACACACTGCAGATCTATAAAAACAGAATTGCTGGCAATATTTTGAACTCCTAGACCAGCTGATTATCACACATACTAAACTCTGAGATCACCATCTAAAAAGAAGTTCTTCTAGAATACAAATATTAAATTCTGGTATGTAGTGACAACTGAGAATCACCCTTATATAATGTTAGGAATTTGATAAGTCTCAAATGCTTGCTATTAGATAAAATTTTGGTATCTTATCCAATGGACAGAGCCTTGACATGGCACTGTGGGATAAGCACTGTACTACTAACCACACCAACACATGTCTGTCAGTTTGTCACCTATCATGGACAGATTTCAGCTGAGCTTTCAGACTAAGGCAGACTAGGAAGACGGAGAAGTGGATTCCTTCTGAATGTTTAACCAAGGAAAACCTTATGAATAACAGTGGATAATTGTCAGGTGGCACCAGAATATTGAATATTGAAAAATTATGAATAACACCAGAATATTTTCAGATATAGTGCTGGAAATGAGCCCCTAAAGTTCAAACATACTCAAAATATGACTGGAAAAGAGCTGCCTCCTCAAATAGGCTGTGATGATGTGAATGGGGTAAAGCTTTCCGAACTTTCATTTACTCATGAGACACAACTCAAATTGAGGAGAAACAACTGTAAACATCCATTAATAATCAGAGCATGAATGTATGAAATATGAATCTAGGAAAATTGGAAGTTGTTAAAAATGAAATGGAATGCATAAAGATTGATATCCTAGGCATTAGTAAGCTGAAATGGACTGGTCCTGGCCATTTTAAATATGACAATCACATAGTCTACTATGCCAGCAATGACACATCAAAGAGGAATGGTGTTGCATTCATCATCAAAAAGAACATTTCAAGATCTATCTTGAAGCATAATGCTGTGATAGGATAATACCCTACTAGGAAAACCAGTTAATACCACTGTTATTCAAATGTACACACCAACCACAGAACCAGTGATGATTACATTGAAGAATTCTACCAACTTCTTCCGTCTGA